TTCCATTGACACTCGAACTGTTCGTTAAGCACATACGTTCAGGCCGAGTATGCTCTTGCAGCGAGCACATGTCAGGTCTTATACAACCAATGCCTTGACGTTCGGACACATTGGATAGGTACCGACGATCTTCATTGTGCAATGGTAGGCTATGATTTGTCTACCTCTACAGTATACTTTCGCGCGCTGACCTCGTCTGCAGTTATTATATCTATACAATCTGGATCTGTACGTTTGGCGTTACTCAGTGCGCTCTGAGCTCTTTAGTGAGAATGAATGCAGTACTGGGTCAACGTCCGTACAAGTGGCCCCTCACGATATTTATGGCAAGTCCAATCACCTATTTCCCTCATGATTCTCACAGTGCATTCTTTCCTTTCGCGTAGAGCTTCCTCACATTGAGCTCGTTTAGTAGGTTAAACCAGATCTTTCCATACTTGAAACACTCACGTCGAGTCTATCAGTTCTTGGTTACGGTGGGCTCCCCCTTTTATGGAAACGTGGCCTTGATCTCATATTCCCGCTTGCAAAGTAAATGTGAAATTTGGGTATGTTTCAACCAGGCGGCGCTCGGGGTGCAGACACCTTATATAACTGGTCTTTAGCGTGCATCACCCTTCTTTTCCTGCAGTATTCAGCCAACCAAGGGTATACAAACAATCCATCCTCTGTCATGTCTTCCATCTCATCGATCCCAGGATCTGGCGATACTGCAAACTCTAGGCGCCGTATTGACGGATATCTGTACGACCACGTCCCTCATTCTGATACTGAATGGACAAAAGACGGGCATTAAGGCGTACGTTCGCAAATATTCTCGTGTGCAGGACGGATGACTTATCGGTCCTGACAGGACCGACCGTCTTGTCCAGAAGCTCACTATCTACGCGGTGAATAGAGGCGGCTTGATTACGTGAGTATAAAGCTCCACATTACTCGGGTTGGTGGTCATAGCAGTTGATTCTCGTTTGCATAGTGTCGTACAGACCACACAATTCATTACGGTGAGTTCTTCACAGCCGATGGAACGATGTTGTGTTGAATACAGGGTCAAGTACATTGCACTGCAGAAGAACTCGCTGTATTGGGTGATTTTCCACCTTCCTGGCAGCAAGAGTAAGTGGTCATTTAGTAGCGACATTTAGAACACACGCTCATTCACAAGTGCCGATGGGTCGATGTAGTTTATTTCAATTCCTTCTTGGCTGTGCAAGTATTCTCCCAACTGCATAGAAGGAGTATCTGATACAATAACCGACAGCCTTAATGCTCGTCACTCTTTGGGCGCAAATGACCAGAAGTATCTTTCTAACGGGTTTTCCATGATGGAATTTCCAGTGGATCCTCCGTCATCAAATGAGATTATGTCGTCCAGGCGAGTTCCCCTTTTTGTTCGCCCTCACATTGTACTGACATGTACGATATATGTGATTTCGGTGACAGGCTTTCTGGTCATGTCCATGTCTAAGATGATGACGACAAATAACGACGGTTTGGTCCGTCGTCGCGATGAGTTTTCCGTGACATTTTCCCACGCTTGCGAAGCCTAGTTTTCATTCCTGTATGTTGTCAACGATCAAATTACCGGCTCATTCGCAGATGAGCCTATCATATCAATAGTGCACGGTTCTTCATAGCATTAGCTTACTGACCTTGGTCTATGGGAGGTGGCTTCCTCCGTTTGTTGTTTGCCCTAAGCTAGGCCGAATAGTCGCCGAGCAGGCTCTCTGAGACGCGAACGCTCTCAGTTGATATGCCCTTGCGATTTCGGAATTGTGCTATCCGAGATGCCTCCAAATACGGCGCTTGTTGTTGCTGAGGGTATAAGTGGACATGACGTAACTCACTGGAAAGCAATGTTTTCCGGAAAGTACGGGACTCATAACACCTGTCATAAGTCCGCTCGGGTATGATGTCGGTCCCGAGGATCGCAATCATTACTTTCCACAGACACATTGTGTTCCTGTCCAGTGGACCTATCGCCGACATCAGAATGGAAGTCGGTGAAAATTTGATCTGTGGCCTTCTTGATTCGCACAAGACCTCTTTGATGATCACAAGGAGGACACCCGCTCTGGTCCGAGGCTACGTGCGACAGGTTGTCTTACTTCTGTCATGGCAACAAGACGATCCACAACGGTTGTCGCGTGCCTATGTAAGGAGACATTACAACCAACGAACAGGAGATCTATCAGTACACTGGGCTGCTGTTAAGAAAGGAAAAGGATCATATTTTGAATGTGGTCTCCACGGTATGTTGTTCACTGGCTGGTTTCAAACGCGTCACTGTTCACACACACTACTTTGCCCATAGATACCCGGACAGCTGATACTTTCCTATCTAAACTCGTCACTGTTCGTCGTGACCAACCCCTCCTGCATACAATTCGCTCGATGCGCTGGCTGAGCATTGTTGTCGCAGGCGCATGGCAGATATGTACAGATTTTGTTCGGCTCAGACGTGTGTGGCGTCTGCGATGGTAACGACGTCGCGCCCTGGTCCACAGCACTTAGAAGATGCCACATCCACGCGATTTACATAAGCCGTTACTTTTTTTCAGCGAAATGATCTACAATCAACAAGAACATAGCTCTCTCCATATCCTGCAATTTCAACTAACATTACTTCTATACGGCATCGCGTGAAATTGGCGCTTCGCAACCCGCTCCCAACGATCGTATTAAAGCGAACTTCTCTCATGCCAGCCATTCACACAACGATACAGTGCCCTCCCCCCGCTCAATATGTCGGATGGTATCGTCCTTCAACCTGCGTTCAACGAGGCGCTGGGCCCAGCGTTAATCGGCACGATAGCTGCTCTCGCGTTGGTCATGTCCATCATCGATGCAGCGTCAATCTATGCTCATGCCCAATCCCAGATTGTACGGTTTGAGCTGTGCTCAGGTGATTTATTACGCTGCGGCGTATCCAAAGGACAAACTACTTCTGAAAGGCTTGGTGCGCCACGGTTATACTATCTCGTTACAACTCAGGCTCACTCATGGTGCTCTTCTTAGGTAGCTATTCTATGGTACGCCTTCCCTCTCAACAGCTCCATATCAAGGTACTGACTGCCATACCCTCTAGGCTCCTCGACACTGCGGCAGCCGTCGTCAATGCCATGGTACGGCATACGATAGAGTTTGACTGTGTCAGACAAGTAACTAGGCCCCAGATCATATGGCATTACACAATCAAGACAAAAACCGATATTATAAGACTTGTCGACGTGTTCAGGTAAGTGGGTTCTGCTGTGAATATAGTCGAAGCTCATAGTCGTCTAGCGTTGCGTCGGTCGGTCGCCAACCTCAGAGTCATTGTTCATCTCACTGACAGAGGCACGTTCCGGCAGTCCGAGTATGCGCTTGCTGTGGGTGATTTTCAACTATACGGGCACACAAACCTCACCGCTGAGCGCTTTGGACAGGCACCGACCATCTTCATTGTCCAATGGTATGTTGGAAACACTCATTACCGTGGACTGTTACCCTGACACATTTGCATGTTCAGTTATTAGATATACACTATCTGGATTCGTGAGTTACCATTCTTGTGGGTCTAGTCGGAATATCATAGCGCCAATCAAGTACTGGCTCACCGCACCTACAAATGGCCCCTGACAATTATCATGGTGCGTTCGTATTCTACCTTGATTGATCACAGTGTTTCCAAATGATGACCTCTTACAATATAAGGCCTCTATGTCCTTGAGCTCATTTGGTAAGGGATGCTGTTCGGTATACATGCAAGAAGAACTTACGATGGGGCTCGTAAGTAATTGGCTATGGTAGGTACCACTCATCGCTTCCCGGATTGGGATGGGTCTTATAATCGTTCATTCAGTGAATGTAAATTTTAGGTACTTGCTGCAGGAACCCATACCCATACCCACCGTGCTCATTCCAAATATCCATCAGCATTCATCATCCCTACTTCCCCGCGGTATTCATTCAACACATGGTATGCAACCGTCTATTTTGTATTTGCATATCTGATATTGAGCATGTTTCTAGGTACCGGCTATCTTACAAACGTCAACAGCCACCTTTGTGGATATTTGCGCAACGGTGACCCTGCTCTTCGTTCTAAGACGGCAAAAAAGTGGGTTCAAAGCGTACATTCTTCCACTTGCTCACGATGATCCATTGACACTCATGCATATTGCGGCAGGACTGATCGCCTCATTGAAAAACTATCAATGTACGCCATGAACCGAGAGGTCTTAACAACGTGAGATTCTGGTTCTTGAGGACTCTTGTTTGGCTTCATGAATCACATGATTATGGCGTTCATGTAGGATCGTGCAGATTGCGCAAGTCGTTACTGTAAGTTTCGACAGGGGACGTTCGTTATGAATCGGCTATGCTCAGCCTCGCTTTCAGTATGTCGCACAAAAGAAGAATGTATTGTACTGGGCGATATTTTAAATCCCAGGTAGCAAGGGTGAGTGCTTCGGCATCTAGAGATATGATCTTGAGGTGATATCTCATGACCTCATATAGTCTATTTCAACTCAATCCTTGCTGTGTGCGTAATCCTGACCTTGTTCAGAGCCGTTTCCTCACCTCATTGACAGACTCAATGCCCGTCAATATCTTCAAAAAAGTGGGCAGAAGTACCTTTCTGACGGCTTTTCCATATTGGATCTTCCGGCCGATCCTACATCTCCGGATGACATACCGCTAGGCGATCGGCAGTACGTATATCTCTATCATTCATTCGTAACGGGCAACATTGACGATGTCTCGTGATACACTGGATATCAGTTGCTCCAGGCCCACACAATCCATGAATGGTACCGTTCCAACAGACGATCACCGAGCATGTCAGGAGTCGGACCTTCAAATTGTTTAGTGACTGGGACCAAAGCCGGCCGGAATACATCCTCCTTTCAGATGCAATGCAACTGTTACATATGAATGGACTCATACATCTCGCTCTGGCTCTGTCCTATCGTCCCTTAAACATACAGTACTGCTTCCAATTGCAAACACAAGCCGAATCTTCTGAACCTCAGACACAGAAAATATGTTGACATTAGACTTCTATCTGAGCATTCGCTGTGGTTCATGAGGTTGACCAGGATCACACACACGAGTCTGATATGAATACATGGTAGACACTAAGATAGCAGTAAGAAAGCATTTGGTACAGGGCAACGTGACTGCGGTGAAACACATGATACAATGACCTAGAGCATCATAGAACTGATGCGCTCGCAACCATAGAGAATGTCTTTAACTGACAGGGCGCAACCATTGCCTGCAAGCGCTGATATCCGCCTAAACAAAACGTGAAGTCAACCCAACGAGCGTGTATGTCGAGTGGATTTGCACAAACGTCAGAGTACTGCAGCACTTCCTGTATGTCGAGCCTGACAGTCACGACCGCCTTTGATGCTTTACTTCTGAAGTGCGCACGGCGAGCGTGGCCTATTTCTCCACCGCTACGGACGTTGGATTGATACTTCAGGATGAGCGACTCGATAGCGCCGTCTATTGTGGCACATGCGGTGAGGAGAGACACGGGAAAACGCAGCGCGTCGGGTTCTAAGACACGAGGGTATAAGTGCATAAAGTAGATATACATATATTACAGAAGAGGGACCTACGCATCAGCGCTTCAAGCAGAATCGCCCACGCTTCCTCTTGCGCTATGCTCCAGCCATCGTCGAAGGCAAGCAGCTTGCGCAAGCTAGGAAGGGCGAGCCACAACTCTTGCATATACGCCAGCGGGGTCACACTGCCAATGGAATATGATAGGGCGTATAAGATATCCCGATGAGCCGTCTGTTAGGCAACGTCAGCGCTGCAGCAAAGCGGATTTAACAACGGGGAATGCTGACCTCGAGGTCGTCATACGTCATCGTATGCGGCGCAATAGCAATAAATTCGTGGGCATTGATCGAGTAGAGCGGCATGAATACATCACGGTGAAACTGGACGAAAAAGCTACTGTCAATAGTAACTACTCGTGCAGTGCGTCATGCATACCTTGACACTCAACGCCATACATGCAACTGCGGTGTCCCACGTAACCGCCTCCTTTCCCTCGTCTTCCAGGACCAACTCCCGGTTGACACCGATGGAGGGAGACGAGGCTGGGGAACTGAGACGCAGGAAGTACCGCGTGAATATATACGCTGCATGGAAACGTGTCTCATCAGACGTCGTCAGCTGCTCATAGAGAGCGCTGCGGGAGGAAACCGCGGATGTCGAGGGTATAACAGGAGGTAAAGCCTGCGTTTGTGCAGTTCAACACGATCAGCTGATAGGCGATGGGATGCTCTGACACGCACTTCGAGCATCCAGTCAATGACCTCCATGCGGAGGTTTTCGTCTATCCCCGAGACCAGCTGAGGCCCGAGAAACGAGCTATCAAGTGTGTCCCTCCCACCACAATGCTCTCCGTCTTGCAAGGGGCAGTCACGAATCTTGCGTCTGCTACCTGCAAAGTTGGGCGACTTGATAGCCTCGCATTTTCCAATATGATGTTCACCGAAACCGTTCTGGCTGTTTGGTTCCTGGATATCAGTATGTGCATGAACAGCGTGGCAAAAAAGGCCGTCCGCCTCCCGTTCGACGCTCTCCTTCGCGAGCATTATTTTGATCCTCGCCTCCGCCGCGGCTTCATCAGAAAGCGGCTCGCGAGGAATATCCTCATAAGACGGAGGAGCGAGGATAGGAAAAGGATTCGGCATTGGTGACAGAGGAGGTGCTGCTACTCTATTACGGCGCCGGGAGCGGGGAACAGGAGTCGCTGGTTCAGTTGGAATATAGCCATAGTAAAGAGAAGTGGGAGAGGCGCAATGTTTATCGGGCGTTTTGACGTCGAGATGAATGTCATCATTTGTAGCAACGATGGAAAAGCTCGACGAAGGAAGCGCTATAGCCGGAGTCTGAGAAATGACTTCAGTTCTCTTGCGAAGGAATGGAGTAATGAACATCACCTTGCGAAGGGGAATCCGGTTCGCATTTTGCGCTGGCTCGGACCGTAGGGAGTCTGCACGGCGCAAACTAGCGGCTCGCCGCGCATATAGTCGTCCGGACGGAGCAATCGTCTCTTTGTTTGCCTGTTGGCGCACATGATTCGCACTCTTGAGACTTGGGCGCCTGACCACGGAGTCTTTCTGGGCGAAGAAACGTGAGGTCCTGGTGTTGGTCTTGTGTCTCTTCAACCTTGGCTGTGCGGCCACATTCTCAGTGTAAGCAACCTGGGTATATGCGTCGATTTTCATGAAATCTGCACTGCCCGGATCTTCAACACAGGGACCAGACGTCAGGACTTGAGAGAGACGGCGTTTGGTGCCACTACTTGATGCATGAGCAGGACCACTTGATTCAGAAGGCGCGTTTGAAGTCCCAGGGCACCCAGGAGAGGCATGCTCAGGAGCGTATTGCTCGCCAGATGTAGCTCCGCGCGCTGAACAATCACTGACGCGTGGGATTGATTGGAAGCGGTGGTCAGAAGAGTCCTTAATTGGTCCAGAGGAAACGGTAGAAGCGGCTTCTAGCCCAGCATCGGAGTGGTCAGTACTGTTTCGCGCCTTGAATTCGGCATCAAGTGATCCCGTATGAACGACGTCGCGCGAGCCAGAGATTGCGGAAAGATGTGGAGAGGAGAGACACTGAGTCTGCATGCCGTCCGAGCCGCTAGCCAAGTCAGAAGGTGGCGTAGAATCAGCGCGTGTTTCGTGCTCTGAGACTGTAGACACAGATGAGTCATTGTCGAGGATTGCGGACGCCGAGTGTTCGCCAACAGCTAGGTAGCGACGGAATTCGGCCTGCCGGCGCTCTCTTTGGGCGATGAGGAGCAACTCGTGAAGCCTGTACAAAAACGGAGATTGCGGCGCAGACGCAACAACTGACTCCTCGCAGGGTGTCTGAGTGGATTCAGATTGACCGAAGAGATCAGGGTCGTCCTCAAATTCAGCGACCCGTTGGGTGTCCTGCAAGCCCACGGCAGCCTTTTCTGAAGAGACGTCTTCCTCCACTCGCCGACTGCTTCGGCGCGAAGAAACGCACGATGAGGATTGAGAAAACAGATCCCTTGAAGTAGTTTCTTCTGGGCAGTAGTCCGGAGGAGTAATAGCAGGTGACGAAGATCCGAGGGGAGAACTTGATGCCGGAACAAGACCTTCAGAGCCAAGCCGGTAGTAGTCGAAGTCGCTATTGCCTTCTACTTCATGGGTGACTGGACTAGATGATGGAGAAGTAGAAGTAAAGCCAGTACCAGAATGTCGGTCGAACATATTTATAAGATACACGAGGCTTGCTTTTTCGGAGCAGGGAGTAGAGTCTATATGTCGCTGTAATCTCTAGTTGGGTGGGCTATATGCGTCCGTTCCTTTGCTAATTGCGCCAGATACACCTCGGGCCGCACGGACACCGTAGAGAGGAAGTGCAAACCACTCGCGACCTGGCTGCGCTACCGTCTGCTGAGCTCTCGCGGGTAAGTCTTGACGATATGGTGGACTTTGAGACAGGTTGCCTCGGCTGCTGAGTATAAGACCTCTGTAGAGCGGTTGACCTCTCCTCACTCGGAAAGTTGACTCTTGTGTAAACTGCCAAGAGGTCAAAATGAGAAGTGCAGGGTGCAGGTTTAGCGAAGCGCGAGTCGCGAGAGAAAAGCGTATCCTCACGTGAGCGCGTCACGAAGCTGAACGAATCCGGACTGGCCAATCGAACTGTAATCGTTTACAGTTTAGATCTACTACCACACAAATATTGGTTTAGCCCGACACATCTACTCCCTAGCAACGTTTGCCATAGCCAACCAGTCCCCATAGTATACACACTCTTGCGAATCCACCGGGCCTCCACTTTTGCAGAAATCAAACGTCGGGCAGCGCGTGCACGGTGCCTGCGAGAGGCCCAATGCTACCCGTTCCTGCTTAATGGCCCGATATACGTACGCACCGCCGAAGCTGTCCGAAATGTCGATACCTCCGGAGGCATCCATCGCTGGTGAGGAGGATCGCTTTGCTCGCGACGACTTCGATGACGACTTTGACTTGGACTTGGACTTTGACTTCGACCGCCAAGACGAACCGTCTTCAGAGCCACTCGAAGCCGTCTCCGAGAGAGACTCGCTTTCGCTCTCGGAGGAATCATGTTTGCGCTTTCGATTCCTACTCTTACTCTTGCTTTTGCTTTTTTTCCGCTCATTTTTTCCACTGTCAGAGTCGTCGGAGCCGCTCTCGTCGCTCTCGTCATCGTGCCTGCGCTTCTTCCGTTTGCGCTTGCGATCACGATCCATATCCTCGTCGCTGTCGCTGTCTTGAGCCTTCCGGCGTCGCTTCTTGGCCTTGTACCTCTCTGCTTCTTCCTCAGAGTCGGAGTCAGACTCCGAGTCGGAGCGGCTCTTCTTGCTCCGTTTCCGCTTCAGACTGCGCGAGCCGCTATCCTTCTCCTTGCCTTTTCTTTTGCGCCTCTTTCTCTCCGCTTCGCTCTCGTCCTCACTATCACTGCCATCTCGGTCGTCCCCGGCATTCATACTCGAGTCCCATAGTGACGCGGCGAACGCTGGAACCTAACAGAAAATCGCATTAGCTGGCCGCTCACAGCTCAACGTCACGAACCAAATAGCCATTCAATCGGCACATCCAGAACAGCATGTTCTGAATGCAAGGACAGACTGGCTCCTGTTGTAACAGCTTCAGACAAGGCGTGGGTACCGACCTTCTCTATCTCACCGTCGAGCACGAGGACATTGAGCAACATCTCAACGTGCTCCACATTCAGCTGCGTCTCCGTGATACGGCTCTTGCTAAGAAATGCGAGGATCTGCTGTGCCGTTGGGTACGGCGGGGCAGCGGAGATGGGGTAGAGAGGCTGTGTGCGAGATGACGAGTCTTCTGAGGTCGATTTAGACTTGGGTAGACTCTGTGTCGCAGCTAAAAGTTAGCGACTGAGAGATGTGTACGTTGTCTCCACGAACTTTCTCTCGGATGAAACGGAGGCATGCACTACAGAGCAACTTGATGAACTCGGTGTCTAGTTCATTGTCCGTGTACCAAGGACCGCCTGTCATCTCTACCGATGGGTCCAAATGGAAGAGCATGTAGATCTTCCGTGTAGGATACTACGTACGCAAGAGCGGTTGAATACATGTGAGATATTAAATTCAAAAAAAGCTGAACACACCTTCACGGACTTCACCGCCTTGATTAGCTGCTTCTGAACAAGAGACTTGAGGCAGCGGTCGATGACTGTCTGGTGAAGCTCCGTTTTTGCTTTGAGGTGTTTTGTCCAGATGCCTGCGAGGCTTTGGTCAGAGAAAGCTTCGAGAAGTAGAAGACGGAGGTCGCGGGTGTACCCTCATTTCCCGACGCTTGGATGTGGCTCAGGACCATGTTCTCCTCGCCGCTCATATCCTTCTTCCTGTGCATAATCAGTCGCACGCCCATTCCTCGCGCAAGTCTAGAGCGTACACGTCCAGCTCCTTTTTCAGAACAGCGCGGAACGACACAACGCCCTTAGTGTCCTTCATGGCCTTGAGCAACCCCTGCAGAATCCAGCCAAACACCATGAGCACCCAGCTTTTCGACGTGATAGACCGCAATAACCGTGCCCAAAAGGAAGTTGATTGCGGCCATCCGCGCCGACGCATCGGGGATAAGTGCCTCGCATTCTTTCTGCGTGAGGGTCTGCACAAGAGGACCATCTCAGTACGCCTTTCCGAAACGCAATGGAACACGACGCACCTTCTTTGCATCAGCAAGCGCGGCTTGATGCAGCTTCTGCTCGAGCGCATTGGGTTTCCTCCCACTCATCGCTGCACACGCCCAGCGAGTTGAATGAGGATTAGGGCAGTGGCAAGAGGAAAGTGAGATGTGATCGAGGATCGTCTGCTCGGTAAAACCGCGCGGCATAACCCTGGGCTGCATCTAACCCAAGTCACATGAGCTGTGACGCGACGCGCCAAAACAGTACGTTGGCGCGACTGCCGACATCATCAGCGTTCGTTCATATTGTCTCTGCAAATGCGCCTTATTGGAATCTCTTACTTCGCTCATAGAAGACTAGCCTATAGCCTGTCATAGATCTGTATGTCTTTGTCGTCCGAGTTTGCACAGCAGGCGGACCAGGATGAATTGCTCTCATCTTTCGAGAAAAGCGCAAACGCCGTCCGAGAGCTGACCCAGCGGTCAGTCGACATAAGCATATTTCCTCTACACTCTTTTCCTAAGGTCTCTGCACAGATTTGAACGTGATTATGCGCGTCCGTGGATGAGATTGGTTTTCCAGGCGTTCCGGGAACGTCCTCTTCGCTCGGTGCGTCTCGTCGTTAACGCATTTTACGCAGGCTAATGTATCACACCGTAGAGTTTTCTGACAGTGTTTTCAGCTCTGAGCTTGCTTCCAGCACTCTCCTTCATGTAAGTCAACACACACTGTCCAGTTGCCTGAGCTTGAATTCGTGTGACGGTAGCGGCTTCTCTTTATTTGTCTTCGCTACCTTGATCTTCGTCTCATTGGCAGGCGCTCTCTTCGCTGCTGCGATTGTTGTGTCGCTCTTTGGTAAGTCAGCAGCTGACACTAAGAGGCATGCATCGCGCTGATGGCAATGACAACGCAGGAACGCTCTTGGCCAGCACGCTGGCCATATTGTTTTGCATTTCCCTGTTTCTCACTGTGTCAGGAATGGCGGCATACCTTGTGCTGCGCCTCGCGCTTCTCGTGCACGGAGACGGACCACAAGCAGGCGTCGCCGCCTGGGTAGGCGAGAGCAAGGGGCTCATCCTTACGTCCTCGCGAGGACTGCAGTCTTCGGTTGACAAACTTGGAGAGGAAGAGCAACACTATAGTGATGCACCCGTGACTACAGTGCTGAAAGAAGAAGCCCTACAAAACAGCGTTCTCGATGAGGACAATAGTCAGTAACAGGCTACTTCGTGTACTTCTTGATCGTACACTCCTCCGCGAAGACATCCGCGATGTGAGTTCGTTTAAGCTTGCTATATAATAGCCCAACCACAAAGACACTACAACAAAGAGAGCGGCCATAGTACAGTTGCAATCACGGAGTGCAATCGCGATAAGGTAAGCCAGCTTCAAGACTTCGACTGGTTTGTATGGGATGAGACATAGCGCGCTTCCTCCATGCGATGCGTGAGCTTCTCCAACAGTGCAAGTCGTTATGACATAGTGCAGCAGCCAGAATGTTGGAATTGCGATTAACGTGAAGAACATATCAACGGAGGAACAGTTTTCTGCAAACAGTCTTGAAGATCCGATATGTCCAAGAGTAACGCTTATGAGATGCAGGGTCAAAAATAACCGAGCTTTGCTTCAACCTTGCTCGCTTCGCCGGCCTATCGTCATTACCATCATCATCGTCGCGGCCGCGTTTGCTAGGCCTGCTCCGAGTGGTGATCTTTCGTCGCGGACCCCGGGTCCTTGAGGGCCGATATACGGAAGATTCGCTCCGATACTGACCGTCGTCCAGGCTACTCGAGAAGTCGCAGTCCCCTTGAATGATCTTACCTGTACCTGTGAGGGTGTCATCTACGGTCCTGACAAGGCGCTCTAACGGATAGTGGTCATCAGGCAAACTGTTGCTGTGGAATTTCCGGTCGTCCTTGACACAGGGTTTAAAAAGCTCGGAGGGTTGCGGATTCACCGGGATCGCAGGATCATCCTCTGGCCAGCCCGGGCTAGCGAGTGCCTCGTTGAACTTCGCCAGCATAACCTCATGCGTGAGGGGTTCAATCGGGTGATTCAAGTGGGAAAGCAAGCAGTTCCGCCGACAAAGGTCCCCTAAATTAGCCAGCAACTTCGACATCGGGCGGTTTCCCGGGACCGAAATTGGGGTATTCTGAATAAGCCAGACGCTCTTGTACTCAGCGAGGGCGCTGTCCGAGGGTGCCTTGAAGTAGAAATCGCTTGCTTTCTGTTCATTAGGATGGTCATGCTTAGTGTGACGTAGCATGAGCCAGAACAGCAGCCAGTAGAACGACTCCAAGTCATGGCGAGCTTCATGTAGAGAGATCCCTTCCAGCACTTCGATGGCAATGAAGTACAAGGTACCCTATAGTTGCCTCCTTGAGCGGTCTTATAATATGGAAGTTGTATGCGCTCACCGTTCGCTCCTGAGCCCATCGTTTGATAGGTCTTCTCTCGCTGGGTGAATGGTCACCAGGTTCATCCAGTCGCGTCCCCGGCCCATTATTCGCTACATACCGTTGCCGAGCATATTGCTCTCAACTCTCTCGGCTGACCTCTAGACCTCGCTCTTTGAGGAACGTCTTCCAATTGAAGCTATGATCAAAATCACCAATGAAGCCTGTGAAGGATTCGTCTTCAGCGAGTAGCACATTGCCCTCGCTGATATCTCTATGGATGATACCAGCCTCGTAGGCTTTTTGGTGACCTACAATGCGGGTTAGCAACGAGCATTCTGAGAGCTCCGTCAACCAAACAGACTTACCGATGATTGCATCGCGGAATGCCTCTATCAACTGGTATGTCCGTGTGAAATGTGAGATTGGTCGTCCCACTGTCTTCAACACTAGTCTCATATGGCTTCGTTCGAGTTCGCTATTCCACAGCGCGCTAGGACGAGCAGAGGACCGAGTGCATTGACCCGTGCTGATGCTTTGATACGTGGTGCACGACCTAGAACACAAATTGCCGCTTCCTTTCGGGGTTTTTCCGCGTTGCATCCATCGAGACAATACACCAGCACGTTCGCTGACAGTGTCATAGCAACGAAGTTCCTCACGCCCGAAATCGACAGAAGTATAGACCTCGGCTATCCCACGCAAGCCATGCTGTCTCTCATTGCGATCAGGAATGCGGCTGCTAGACGAAGCATGCGATGCATTATCAACACCGTCACGAAGGATGGCGTGAAAGTCTGTTTCAGCTAGAAATAGCATTCTGCACCATGAATCTTTGATAGCATATCTCTTGCCATCCACTTCGCCATCTCTAAAAGCTTCCCAGACGGTCGTCGCGCGGGAGAAGATGTCCGGATTGGTGTATAGCAGCCTAAATGCTAGGAACCTAGATGTATCCCCATTTCTGTCTCGTACGGTGATCCATCGACACATCCTCCGCTCGTCTGGCGTGAGAAGAGGCTTCTTCAATTTGCGGAGTAGCTTCTGTGACCAGAGAACGTCACGCTTCTCGGGGATTCGGATGAATGGATCCGCGCCACAGACACCAACTGTGCCTAAGGGTGGATGCACCAAGTTCCATAGAAATCCACGAAGGATTTCGGGATGCTCGCAGTAATTGAAACTCTCTGATACAACAGCTGCAGCATGATCGAACCGGAAAATGCGTGCAGTGGCCCCAAAGATGCCGACGACGAAGACAAAGAGCCGGCGCTGTGCCATAAAGATATTTTGCGCATGGAGAGTCATTAGTGCCAAAGTGTTGTTGTGCTGCCCAGAGATCTTGCAGATTGGATCGTCGTCCTCCTGCTGCATGACCTCAAAGACGACCGAGATGTCCGCCCATTGAGGCAACGCAAAGAATCCACGGTCGTTTCCTGGGAGTGACGCCACAATTGTAGGGCTGCTGGAACATTCTACCATGTTACAAGTGCTCAAGGGAGGTTTGAGCAGTCTTCCCTTTGTTTCTACAAAAGCCAAGCGTCTTCCTTTAGGGAATGATTGGACGAGGTGCTCAAGAATTGCAACCTATGACACCATCTCAGCTCGAATGCGACAGAATATCGTAATATGATTATATACAACAAACGCGCACAATGCTACGCCCGTGTCTTGTAGTCTTATTGGCCCCTCATTTGGTATCCACAGTGGTATGTTGGTCTTCGTGGGAGTAAAAGCGCACAGGAAACAGCCAGTGCAGCCATTGTACACGTTGAACTTCTTGTCAATCCTGTTGGACAGACGTTCAACTGGGTGGAGAGCATCGACATCTGTAGCATGAGCCTGCAAGCCGTCCGATTCTTCAGTGCTGGACGAGTAGCTAGTAGTACCAGTTGCACAGGTGCCCAAAGTATCGGCGGAGGAAAGAGACCCCATGCTGTAATATCAAGATTAAAAAGGAATAGTAATCACACTACAAGCAGGACTGCGTGAAGTCGACGTTGACGTTCAAGAACAACTTGAAGTTCCCGCCACACACGCGGTATGCACACGCGACCGCAGTTTCGGAGCAATTGACTAGGACCCGGGGGAATACCCCCAGAGATCCGAAAAGAGCCAGTTTGGGGGGCAGATAAGATTAGACTTTTCACGATCTCAGCGCGGGGACTTCGGGCATGTGTCCTGGGAGAACTGTACACTCACCAGGTTTGGGTGAGATCAGTGGCAGAATGGTCTCACGAGACGTGGAAATGCTGCCAGAAGCAGGTCATTGTGAGGGACATTTTCGGTTTGTTTAGGATCGGAGCTCTAAAATATGGGGTCCTAATGGAGTACCGATGCATTGATATAATGATTAGAATCATCGGTACCCGACAGTCGTACTTACGCATCCACTCGTGACGAAAGTGTATAGTCTGCGATGAGCATAGTAGTACATGCTCATCCATATCGAGAAGGTCGTAGTATATAATAAGAGACAAGGATAGAACATGTTCTCCCGAGTGTCCTTTCCGACCAGATCCCGGGCCCTGGCAATATTGCAGGATGTGATTGTAGACAAGTCAGACTCGCTGAGCGACCTCAATGCCGCTGTCGACGACGATGCTCCCGCCAATATGTTACCGCCGGCAGGTCCTGGTCCGAACTTGGGAGATTAGATGCGAGCGTACGCTGTCAAACGGATAGTGTCCGGGCGTCGAATGTGTGTGTGTGTGTGTGTTACATCGAGCAGAAGAGATAGAAGTACAGATATCTGACAGTGCTCACGTGTGAATTGAAGGCTAAGAGAAGAGATGCCAAAGAAGACATACTAGACACACGAAAGACAAGCAATTATAACAAGCGAATCAAGTCCCTAGGGTTCCGAAAGAGGTATACTTCAGCGCTGTGCGTAGAGCACTTCTGAGTAGAAGCGCTGGGAGGCTTGGTAGGATCCGGAGGGCGTTGTGAATGATCGACCTTGGCCGAGTTCGCACGTCCTCTGCGCGTTCTGATCTAGGGCGCTTCGCTGGTTCATATTCGTCGTCGTCGTCGTCATCGTCGTCTTCACGACCGCGTTTGCTACTGGACCTGCTCTGAACGGCAACTCTCTGACCAGTGTTCTGCAAATCCCGGGTGTGTTTGTATCGGGTCCGTGCACGAAAACATACGGACGGTTCGCTTCTACACCGAATACTGCTTGTGCCATGTGGGCAGTCCCTCTCCTTTGAGACGCCCTCGCGGACAGGAAAATATGCGCTCCGGATGAGGCGATCTTCGAACCAGTGGGTGCTGTGGGTCGCCTGAGTGCTTTCCATGCGGCGGGTGCTGTGAAGTTCGTCGGTATCGTTGGTATCATTGGTATCATTGGTATCGTTGGTATCATTGGTATCATTAGTATCAGGTTTATGAAGCTCTGAGGGTTGCGGATCGCGATTCAATGGAATCGCGGGATCATACTCTGGCCAGCCTGGGCTGGCGAGTGCCTCGTTGAACTTCGCCAGCATAGCTTCGTGCGTGAGGGGTTCAATCGGGTTATTCAAGTGGGAAAGCAAGCAGTTCCTCCGACAAAGATCTCTGAGATCAACCAGCAATTTCGACATTGGGTGATTTCCCGGAACCGAAATTGGGGCGTGCTGAATAAGCCAAATCCTCTTGTACTCCGCAAGTGCGCTTTCCGAGGGTGCCTTGAAGTAGAAATCGCTCGCTTTCTGTCCATCAGGATGGCTATGCTGAGTGTGACGAAGCATAAGCCAGAACAGTAGCCAATAGAATGACTCCAAGTCATGGCGAGCTTCATGTAAGGAGATCCCTTCCATCACTTCGATAGCAATGAAGTATAAGGTGCCCTATAGTCGCTTCCCTGATGAGCTTTCGTACTTTAAGTGATACATATGCACTCACCGTTCGCTCCTGCGTCCATCGTTTGATAAGTCTTCTCTCGCTGGGTGAATGGTCACCAGGTTCATCCAGTCGCGTCCCCGGCCCATTTTTTGCTACATACCGTTGCCGAGCATATTTCTCCCAACTCTCTAGACTGACCTCAAGACCCCGCCGTTTGAGGAACGTCTTCCAATTGAAGCTGTGGTCAAAATCACCGATGAAGCCGGTGAAGGATTCGTCTTCAGCGAGTAGCACGTTGCCCTCGCTGATATCTCTATGGATGATACCAGCCTCGTAGGCTCTTTGATGACCTACAATACAAATCAGCAACGAGCGTCCTGATGCTCCTCAACCAAATAGACTCACCCATAATTGCATCGCGGAATGCCTCTATCAACTGGTATGTCCGTGTGAAATGTGATATCGGTCGTCCCACTGTCTTCAACACTAGTCTCATATGGCTTCGTTCGAGTTCGCTATCCAAAGGCATCCCAAGGCGAGCGGAGGAAATGGTGCAATGACCCGTGAGGAGGCTCCGATGAGGGACGCACGCGTCTGTGCACGACTTTCTGCTTGTGTTCGGGTTCTTCGCGAGTTGCGCACAACGCGTTGAATCACACCCCGCATTGTAACGGAGATACTCCCTTCTCCCCAAATCGACACCAATGTAGTCCTGTGCTAGACCGAGCAAGCATGGATCTGTGTCAGCATGATTGTAGGCGTCGACGCTGCGAGAGGCATGGCGTATGCCATCGACACCTCCATGAAGGACATCGTAGAAGTCCGTTTCGGCCGGAAAACACAGCTGTCGCCACGCGTCCTTGATGACATATGTCCTTCCTGTCTTCTCGCCTTCCTTGAGTGCTTCCCAGACAGAACATGCACGAGAGAACATGTTGGGATTAGTATAAAGCAGCCGGAATGCGAAGAAGCGCAACAGATCACCGTTCGTGTCACGTACGGTGATCCATCTGCACATCTTCTGTTCTGCTTGCGAAAGAGGAGGTTTTCCTGATTTGTCAAGTAGCATTTGCGCTCGATAGATATCGACCTCTTCCGGGACTTGTATCGACGGATCCGCACCAGACACGCTAGAAGTAGTCGACAGTGGATGTACAAATCTCCAAAGGAATTCGCGCAATATATCTGGACGCTCTGTGTAGTCGAATGCCTCGGACACGACAGCGGCGGCGTGGTCAAACCGGAATATACGTGCGCTGGATCCGAAGATCCCGACGACAAAGACAAATAGCCGATTCTGTGCAACGAAGAGATTTTGCGCGTGATGTGCGATTCTTTCCAAAGTGTGCTCGTGCTCCATAGCGTCCTTGCCTATCGGGTCATCATCATTGTGCTGCATGATCTCGAAGGCAATTGAGACGTTCGCCCATTCCGGCAGTGCATAGAACGCTCGGTCCTTCCCCGGGAGTGATGCCACAATTGTAGGGCTACTTGCATATCGCTTCATGTTGCGGGAGCTCGTAGGGGGTTTGAGCAGCCGACCTTTGGTTCCTAGAAATGCTAGGCGTCTTCGTTTGGGGAACAATTGGATGAGCTGATTGAGCGCTGCAGTCTTTCCAAAAAATCAATCGAAAGAAACTCGTACAAATGCATTTGTCCGTACCATCGAGGCGCAGAATCCGCCGTGATCCCCTGAGCATAGTGGTCGACCAAAGAGGTCGTGTGGCGCCCAGTGTGGCATTTTCACTTTCGTTGGCACAAACGCGCGCAGGTAGCAGCCAATGCAGCTACGGGAGATGTTGAATTTCCTCTCAATTCTACTGCGCGGTTGCTGTATTCTCTGGGCGTGTTCGACCGGGATACTCTCGTCGAAGCTCGCTTCGTTTGACGTGAAGGACGACTCAGTCAGACCAGAACTGCCACCAGAATCAGCCAAGCAGGTAACAAATGTAGCACCGGAAGAGGAGTTATGTGACTGCATAATGCTTCTGAGAAGATTCAAAGTTTAGACGGGTAATGGTAGTAGTGAAAGCAAGCTGCGAGCCCTTGAGCGCCACATTCGTGTTATACAAGCGCACATGATTGTTGGTCACGTCACATGACAGGAAAGACTGTCGGCGCTCATGATTCAACCGATTGCCTTCTCGCGGCACCTGGATGATTTGCAGATGTAAAGCGGACTCTGAAACAGACCCGTTGCTATTACCAGTCGTTAACGAATGGTTACCAACAAGTGATGATGGATGAAGGAAGGGGCCTGAGGTCACCGCTGCAAGCTAAGCGAGAGACAAGAGGCGATCGAATCGTTGCAGATAGTGCGACCATTGGGCGCGTCAGAAAGGTCTGCCTTTTCTCCTTTTTTTCTGTCTGCAATTGCGGTGGCACATGTGAGGAAATATGTGCATAGCCTTATAGCGGGCGAAAAAAAAGATAGGCGCGACCACCCCAAGTAAGTTGTCTCCGAAATTAAATTGATTATTAAGCTCAATCCTTGTTTTTGCTCCTGAATAATTCCTGTTAAGCACGTTAATTTGCTCAAGGAAAATCGGGGTTTCAATATTGATGTGGGGCATTACCGCATACATAACCCCGTTTTCCACTCTGACAGATATCTCATAAGTTCGTCTTACTCGTTTCATGGACCGCACTTTATGGCTTTGAACTAGAAGTTCCGAAACAGTTGTACAATATCTGGGCTGAACCGGCTCGTGTCAAGATATCGTGCGTCTTCATACGTGGAACAACTACATGGTGGAAAGGAAGTGACAACAGCATGGTGATGGGTATCATAATGAAGGGTGGTGGATTACTGGTTATTGTAAAGATCTAATAAAGAATTGAAGAGAAGTTTCATTCGTTTGATTCGCCCGGGCCCGGGGTGGTCATTTTCATGATTGTCTGCCGTACGCTTGTTTGCCGTGTGTTGGTTTGCACTTTCCATTTCGACATCTTCATCACGTACAGTGGGACTCCCATAAATCCTTGGTGCATTCATACATAGGGACTTTTCCCGTATGCGCTTGGAAATGTACTTTGAGAGAGGATATGCTTGAGTTGAGCTTTGGTCTCCATTGGACGCAGTAGTCATGACCATTTGTCCAGTTGCAGTGTCCTCGGTGATAGTCGGTCCAGTGGCCGCGTTTAACTTTTTCGGTGACTTGATCGGAAGTTGGAACGGCCTCGCTGGATCACTTTCTGGCCAGCCCTGAAGTGCCAACGCGTCTGAGAACGCTGTAAGAACTTTCTCGTGTGTTGGATGATTGTCCACTGTTGAGCTTTTCCTGTTTGACTGGAAAATCTGTCTCAAGTGCGCCAGGAGAATGGTCAGCGGATTGTTTTCTTCAACCTCGATGTCTCCCTTTGGATCTAAGAGCCATTTCACTTTGAGTCTAGACCGCTTATCGTCACGGGTAGCAGCAAAAACCGAACTGCAGGAAAATGCGCCTTTAGGGTGATCGTGCGCCGTGTGTCGTAGGACTAGCCATAATAGAAGCCAATAGAACGATTCGAGGTCGTGCCTGGCCTCGTGTATAATTGGCAGCTTGAGGGAGCGTTCCTCGAGAATCTCAACTGCTACGAAGTAGCAATTTGACTAGGTGTCACTGTCAGCATCTTGTGCGACCTAGAGAAAAGCACATTCTCACTGTTCTCTCTTTGAACATGCTACTAAGTTGATCGCGCTCCAGCTGGATTCTGTTCTCTACTTTCTGTTGATCAGTCAACTCAACAACAGCTGGGATACCAGCTCGACCGCCACCGTTGACGCATTTCTGCCAGCTTGCCAGCGTGGGAGCCCAGCCTCTCAGCTGGAGAAATCGCTTCCAATTGAACGCTTGATCAAAATCTGATATGAACCCCGCAGAGAGCGCATCGGCAGTCGTGTTGAACATCACATTTCCATCGCTAATGTCACGATGGAGGATACCTGCCTCATAAGCTCGCTGATGGCCTAAATGAAAGCCCGAGCAGAGAAAGCATTAGAATGGCGGGATACAAGGTCGAAACACAGAGATATGAGCGTACCTATGATGGCATCGCGTAGCGCCTCGACCAATCTCCTTGTCCTACGGAACCCAGATAGTGGTGCACCAGCTGTGTTCAACAGTATTCGCACCTGAGTCCGCTCGTTTACGAATGCTGTGTAAGGATTGCGGACAACGGCTGAGGCAGTACAGTGGCCGTGAAAGTCTGTGCCAGCAACGGGTTTCAACGATGGTTCCTCCGGTCTGGCAATGTTGAATTCATCGGTCGAGTCCGTGGAGGTGCTTGAACAGTGTGCATCCTGCGTTGCTTGTGGATCAGAAATTGGCTTCCAACGCCTCGCCGGCACTTCTGGTTCGCCTAAATCGATAACATAACCGAATTCTGCGATCCCGAACAGAAGTCGTGGCCGTTCGCTTGGGTCACGGAGGGAAGCGAAATCATTGATGTATCGATAAAACACGTCATCTGACTCCTGCCTTGCGAGCTGTCGCCAGTAATCCTTTGTAATGAAGAGACGCCCGCTGTTGTCGTTTTCGAGGAATGCTGCCCACACGCTAGTGGCTCGAGAGAAGAGGCGCGGATTCACAAACAGCAACCTCACTCTACAGAACCTTACCTCCCTGTCGTAGGGGCCCCGGAAAGTCACCCATCGGCAACCATACTGAGCTTCTGGTGTAAGCGAATGTTGATGATGATTCACCAACACCCGATTGATCCACGCATAATCTGCTGGTGAAGGCACATGGAGAGAAGGATCATCTCCGACAACCTTGCATCGAGTCGAGATTGGGTTTACGAAGCGCCAAAGGAACTGGCGCAAGATGTCTGGTTCTCGTGTGTAGTCAAACTGTGCGGACACTACCGCCGAGGTGTGGTCAAAACGCATGAGACGTGCCTTGTGGCCGTACATGCCGACGACGATGGTGTATAGCCGTTGATGTACGAGGAGTAGGTTTCGCGCATTTTTCGCTAGCTGAATCATCGTCTGGGTGTGCACGGCACCGTATTTATCAACAGGATCTTGGCTCTTCTTCCTCTTGACCTCGATTACCAGGCTAATGTTACGCCACCGCGGGACCGCATTCACACCAGGAAGAGATGCGATGAGATCAGGACCTGTGTTGTGATGGTTATGCTCGAGTTCTTTGTACGGGAATTTGATTCTCTTCTTGCTATTGTTGTGGAAGTGAGGTCTGAGCGACTGCTCGAAATCTTGAGTCAACATTTGTAGGCCTTCGACCTATACGAACACCTGATTATGAGAATGATAGACGTGAATACGGCGCTCTATGCTTACTAGTGGCATGTACATTTGAGACTCAGGGACGTTCACGGGTACATTGGCGAAGACATTTTGTGGCGGCGCAGCCCGCATCGGCATTGGCGTCCGGCTTGGTACGAAGATGTCCATATATTCTTGCATATCTCCGTTGAAAACATGGATGTTTCCCTGGAGCTCCGAAGCCCACCCATCTTCGTTCAGTTCATTAGAACGTAAGACCTGACTCTGTTCAGTCGGGATAGCTATCGACTTGTCCTTGCCTTTGGAGGTGAAGGCGAGATGATGTTCATCCGCCCTGTTTTCAACGTTAAAGTCTGGCATTGAGAGACAAAGCAGGATATCAGATTGTTCAGCGCAGTGGAGAGCGGAGAATGGAGAGGAAGTGAGCAGAGGCGGGACGAACATCAGTGGCGGCGCGCTTGGCCATGGGAAACTTGGGCCACAGCATGTCACGGGCCGCCGGTAACGGTGTGGCCACAATGCACTCATCCTTCCTATAGTGGCACGGATTCCTGCATACATGATCGCCAATGAGCATTCACGACCGTCGTGCTCCTGGCATACGCACCAATATTGTAGCTTTGTCCTCCACATTCGGGCTCAGCAAGCAGACACAAGTCTCCTTACGAGTACCCTTGCTGATGGAAGCATAAATACAACACATGAGTACACAATGGTGCCATACAATGCATAGCAGGAGGTGAATAGAATCGACTAAAGCAGTACAATGAATAAAAACATGGAATACTGAGGTCGATGAAACAGTCGTCTTGAAGGACGCTCCAGATGAGCATTCATTCGTAAACCAGAGTCTCCATGGAGTACGTGCGCATTCCCACTTGAACTCGTGTCAGTGAAGGTGGGCCGGACAGCCTCTTAGAAAACGACGTACCTTTCAGATAGGCTCCACTGCAGGGCATTCGGGCGATATAAGCTTGATGAGCTGCATGTGATGTATACACTCGAGATGATAGCGCTGGAGACGCGAGACGGAGCAGTTGATTAGAAGCCGCTTGGAAAGAAGTGTAATCGCCTTCGGAGAGATCGCGCAGAGAGCTTGAGCTATATATATATATGAGCGTGGTTCTACCGGTACGTAATATACAGCCCACCGTAAGTGCGTCTAGTAGACGAGCAGAGGATGGCCCATATCAGCCAGCACGTACCGGCGACCGCCAGCAGATCAGTATCCAGGTGCAAAAGCGTAGTACCCGAGCCGCAAGACGAGGTGAGGAACGGATAATTACTCTGAAGGAGCGGAAGTTTCGATACCCTCAAGCGTTGGCCCGGGAAGAGCATCACTGCGAACGGCCTTAATGACACACATTCTCCAGTTCAGAGCTGCTCGGATCCTGACTCAGTACCTCAGAGTACTAGCCTTTCAGATGAGTTGGAGGTTGCTGGATGGGCTTACTGATCTATGTCAGAGGTACGCCGCTCACAGATGATGCATCAGCTGCGGCGAATGGTGACGGTACCCACAGATCGAGCAACAGCGGTCAGGTTGGCCTTAGGGCCAGTGTGACATGAAGGCATGACGGCCTCTGCAAAATTGTAGAGATTGGGTGACGGTCTACATGGTAAGCGCCCGTGATAGTCACAACATGCTTCCGTTATATCGACAGTTGCGAAGTGACGATATGACACAATTACGAGGTAAGCTGCAAGGTCTCAAGAAGACATTACCATCAACCCAGATATGCTAATAATACGCAAACAAGAGCCCATTGCGTTTGCAAACCGGTAGGCTAATATGGAAAAGTGCATATTCGGCGCATATTCGGCTGATTCCGGATGTCGAAAACGGTAGGTAATCCCGCGTGCTAACGATTTTAAGTTTTGGTTGTAAGCCATGCTACGCAGAACTGACTTTGATATGCTGGACAGGAGCTTGTACAATGGCACGAAAGGGTTCACTAACCCTGGCGTTACGACAGGAGTGGATACGTTTCGACCGTACAACTCTGAGGTATGCAAACCCGCGCTGCTCTGTTCGCCTGCAATGAGATTCATAAAGCAACGGTCACCCGTCGTAGCAGATTAGTTACAAGACAACCTTGCATATGTTGAGAATGGCTAGCCTGGTTCAGAAGCGCAAGAAGTCTCGAGGTCATGGACTGAAGGTCTAGACTTCAGCCGTGAGCATCATGATCGCTCACGAAATGAATGCTCAAGCGTTTGTGTGTCGCGTTCTGACCCAGGGTCCCGAAATTGTCAGATTTGAATGGCTGAGATCTTGCTAGCGATTCAGGCAGAAGCCACTTCTCTCTTACGCACTGACAGGTACATGTTCCAGCTGATGATAAATCCGCCGTAGAATTGGCATTGTCCTGATTGGAATTGCGACTGAATTTAGTGAGTCTCCTCAGACTCATTTCATATGGTCTCATCATGCTGACAGTGTAGGTAGAACCTGTATCTGTCTTAGACTTGGTCGAGATTGCAATGTCACTCATATACTGGCTCAAGCGCTAGTGCGCCTCTGCTAGGAAACGCAATCGCACAAGACACAAGCAGCAATCAAGCAAGATGCAATCTTTCGACCTCACCACCGCTCGCCTCGCTGTCGTCACAGTCGATCCCAAGGTTCAAAAGGGTCGAACATGTGGACCTGGATCTCTGCCTCGTTCGCGCCAGACCAAGATGGCCAGTGCTCCGAAGGCCGTCGCAGCGCCGCCCTTGACGAGGGCTGCGCGCACCCTCTCGCTTTCGGCCATTCCTCTTCCTGTCAGGAAGGAAGATCTCGCGAACCGCCTCGGAACGCCCACGAACAAGGTTAAGTCTGGTTCCGTCGGGGTCAATAAAGCAGCCGAAGGTCCTATGCCAGCCTCAACGGTCGACGACATGCTATCCAAGTCTCTTGCTCACACCTTACCGCCGTCCATACCGCTTCCGCCTGTGCCGAAGAGCCTGTCTCCCATTGCCGCGGTGCGCTTTCATCGTTACCGTGTTCTCGACGTTATTGACCGCCATGTGTAGAATGCAAAGCTGTTCATCGCCGCAGCCTATAAGTCACAGCAGACCCGTGCCATTGCCAAGATCGCTCGTGGAACACGTCAGCGTCGTGCCTTCACTGCCAACAAGGAGAATGTACCGTCCTTCGCGCGTCCAACCAGGAGTTCCGTCACTCGTGCCCCCAGCAATGTCGATTTGACGGCTCAGGCCGAGTCCCCCAAGCCCGCCGTTAGCCGTCCGCTCTTCGGAGACGCGCGCAGCCGCTCTATTGCTCCCAGCGTGACTTACGGACGTGGGATCACGCATCCGGCACAGGCGCAGAATGTCACTGCCCGGGCTACTCATTTCAACCCTGTCGATTCCGATGCACCTGTTCGCAAGATGGCGAAGACACCCAAGGAAACGGCTGTAAGCACGAAGAATTCAGATATTAGTATCAAGTAAAGTGGTTCCAGCTTTCATTCCACACGCGTCGCTGACAGTACTTCACTTCACCCTGGGCAGGACCATCCAGCACATCGTTCCAGCGTTCAAGGTTGAGCTCACCTCCGGCGGCAACACTCAGTCTACCGTTGCTGATATGGATTTAACACCGATCCTGAACGGCACGCAGTTCCCCACGGCACCCGAATGGATGTACGCCGCCTCATTGTCTCGTTTCCCAGCCCCAAAACCCGCTTCAACAAAGGGCGCAACGGCTGATAGGCAGATGCAGGCGGACCATGCGATCCGCCCGGCGGCTATGCAGCCAGGATGGGAAAAGACGTTGCGCGCGGGGCCGTCGAGAAGATTCTCACCAACATCGTTGGATGTGCAGGAAGACAAGGAGCGCTCGCGCCTGCAGGAGGTTCCCCAGTCTTCATCTGTCAAGGCTACCGTCACTTCGCCCAAGGCATGCCCGTTCCCCTCCCCTGCCTCCGTTCTCCCTAGCGCAGAGCCCACGCGTGCTATCAGTGCTTGCTCTCGTGATGCTACCCCGATCGTTCCACACTCACCCACAGCTGCCTGGTGGAAGCGTGGCTTGGTCTCATGCTCTCCAGCCCTCGTTGACGCGAAGGACTCTAGTGCCGCGCCTCTCTCCTGCGGCAACAAGATATCTGTCCAGAATGGTGCCTCTAGCAAACATGTAGGTCTCAGTTTGAAAGAAGTCCCGACTCCGTGCGATGCTCCCATGAAGATCGTCGAGTTCTTCACCCTGTCCGGCGACGCTTCCGCGGATTCGGTCAGTGAGGCGGGCCAGCAGCTCGCAGTCCTTGTGGTACAAGTAGGGGGAGAAAGCGGTAGGATGATCACTTTGACCTCCTCAGAGGACAAGATCTTCCACGAGCTGGAGGATTTGCGAGTCCGCCTCACCACCCATACTTTTGAACCGGCCAGCATTCAAGCGGTTAACGCTGACGAGAACAAAATCACCCGTACGCTGCCGGACATTCTGAAGACCGAGCCAACGCCCACGTACTCGAATGCAGAGGAGGCCGAGAAGAGCGAGGACCGCAGGTGTGTCTTCCCTTTATTTTGAGATGAAGCAAGTGGACGATGCCAAACATTGACTTCTGTAGCCGTGAAACCGCGCACGTTAAGGCGATCTCGAATGTCAAGTACTGCCAAGACACGTCTTCCCAGACCGTGGTTGACAACGACTTCGAAGATGCGGTCCTCAAGACTACGGCTGCTCGCCATGTCCTGAGGAATTGCGACATCAAGGCCGCAGCATCATCCCTTCACTCAGGCGAGACAGCCGATATCGAGCACGTCGTGGCGCCTGCCCGCAGGTTTGTCGGCCCTTCGTATTCGCTTAATACGAGCAGCAAAGCAGTTCATTCAGTACGTCCTCCGCATGCGCGCTGATGATGTCTATCTCACTCCTCTATAGCCAATGTTCACCACATCCGCCATTGCGGTACACCAGACTCATGCACTTGAACAGACAAGTATCGATTCTTTCGGGCTGCAGACGACCTCAATCGACCCAAGAAGCGTCCGCGATACAAGGCTCTCTACCCCTGGGCCCACTCACTCACCGCGGATCTTTGGCTCACAGACATCTTCTCCCTCAAGCAGCAATTCCAACAGCGTCCGCTATTTCGACGCTGCCTCAGTGTCTACGTCGTCGGGCGTGACTCCCCCATCGACACCCACTTCTTCCGGAGCATTCAGGACACCAAGCGACTCCTCTTTCAACGACTCGAGCTATGCGTCGAGCGAATACTCGGTTTCATCGTCGGTGCCATCCCCTTCCACAGCGACTTCTAGTGCATTCTCTTCGATTTCACTTTCCAAGCCGACTCGTTCTTGTGACGTTGTTCATGGCAACACTGGTCGTTTCGCATTTCTCAGCATGTTTCGTCGCCTTTATTAGGCGTCACGTCCTTTGCTTCGGAGGCGAAGTAAGTAACGGGTCCTACCAGCTTGGCCAATTGCACTGACGCAGTACATTTATGTAGAACTTGTTTCAGTTCCATTTTCTTCATTTTCAGTATTTCCGTTGCATTCAGAGCCACTTTCACTTCAACCCAGTCTCGTCTGGGAACCGCAGGTATATACCCAAGGTTTGACTGCCGCAGCTGGCCTACGCTGTCATCACCTCAATCACCCACCTGTGGTTTTTCTCAAGTCCTGGCATCGGTGTCAGGACGACAGGCATATACCCTTGGTCCGTCAAGCGGAGTCAATCTCCGCCACCGACCACGATACCCCGCCTGTCTTTGTTCGCTGGTGTTCAAGGTCCTTGTCGCAATCGCCGGCTTATACCCACGGTGCGACGAACGAGTTGATCTCTGATCTCGCAACCGCTATGCCCCGTCCGCGTTTGTCCGCAAGTCCTTAGCGCCACCCCCTCTTTGCTTCTCACAGCGTACATGACACGCACTCCGTTTGACTTTACCTTCACCTTTCGACCTCAAGTTCTCGCAGAATGCACTCTGTCGTTACCTAGGGTTGGCACCCACTACAAACCAGTATTCGTCTCCTCGCTCACTCGACTCGTGTCTGGCGTCCGCTTTACGTCGCCGCTCAGTCGCTCTTATGTCCTCCGCTCTTCCTGGGTCACGACACTATCCTTGGTATTGCTTCAAGTCCTCCAAGATGTCTCTGGGTCCGCTCGTCGCTGCTCCTTGCCCTAGGCCTCTGGCTTGTCAATTCGCTTGCGTCTCCCGTTCTGGACGTCTGGTATTCGCTCTGCTGGTGCTTTGGCTACTCGGCTCTGCTGTGCTTCGAATGACCTATGACATGTTTCCCTATATGCCCATGACCTCTTTATGCTTCCCTCTCTGTCCGTGCGATTCGGCCTTCATACTTTTACCACTGTCCATACCTGCCCCTAATACTCCCCCACTTTGTTACGCTCTGTTTAGGCTTCGTCTCCTGTAAAACGTACATGGAATATACACGACCCATGGCGTATAATGGTGTGAATCAGTAAGATGAAAGTGCATACCGAGACTCTATGTCCAGCAGTAACATATACATTGTCCGCCATGGGCTGTATATATGCCCAATGTGAAGCGTTGCCGTACGGCCCACACGCAGCGTGGGCGAAATCGGGCAGGGATAAGCCTCCTCACAAAAAGAATGGTGCAAGGGAAAGGCAAGAGGACAAGTTACTCTAGCACTTGAAGGCCTTCTACACGGTCGCCACCCATGATCCGCTCCGTCTTGGCCTCGCATCTAACCAGCCTTCTCACCTTCACGACGATGTCCTCTGGCGCACCCTTTGTTAATGCTATCGCCGCCCGCTCCACGTCCCGCCGTCGAATCCGTGAGCCCCATATGCTTTCGCTGTACGCGTCCACGAGGCGCACGAGCTCGAGGCTGTCCTGGCCGGGCAGGCAGATCATCGCTGCGACCGAGCCGGGCGGCAGGAGCGTCGCCTGGCCGAGTGAGAGCGTGCGCAGGGTGGGGATGACGGGGAGGAGCGGCATGTCGTGTGCGAGGGGCCCGTGGAGGCCAAGTTCATCAGAGGGGAAGGAGACGCTGGTGATGGTGATGTGCACGATGCGAGTCCAGGTGCGGATCGCCCTGAAGAGGTAGAACGCAGCTGTGGGCACGATCTGGTGGTGCTACCAGTATCAGCACAGTACAGGTACGACGACTACCCGCACGAGTACTCACCGCAGTAGAGAAATGGTGGTCTGGGTCAGGACCATTCCAGACGAATGTCTTCGGGCTGCGCACCGCGTTGGCTTCAGGTGGATACCCCACAAAGGGATTACTCACTTCGCCATCACCAAAGCATCATAGATGTGCTGCAGATTAGGGTTTTGTATGTGCGAATGCAGGCAGAGAGAAAGCATATCCAATGGAACCGGAGGCGGAGGCTCATCACGACTGGCAGCCCCTATCAAGACATCTCGACACCGTCGCAGAACGCCAGCCAGGTGAAGAAAGACATCGAAGCCAGCAGTACCGCCAGCCAGGGTCACAGTGAGAGTTCTCGGGCAACATGCGAGACGTGTGCGGCCCTCAGCGAAAAGCGTGAGCTGATCAAGAGTCTGAAAGCGGATGTGAGTGTGTAGAATGCGTTGTCCCACTTCCAAGAACAGTTTGCCAACGGACAGGACATCAGACGGCCGAGGGTGTTCGAATAGAGCAGTAGACACTATCTCAATGAACAGCTCGACTGGTATGGATAATAGCGATAGAGCCATAGAACAGAAACGTCGTCGGTGCGTTGAGTATGACTAGAGAGAACAGAAAATGGGCGAGTGCTATAAGGTCAGCATTCAAGCCGTATATCTTACTATTTGTCCGATCTATCTCGGAGGGTCTCACGGCAGACGTCCTCGGATAAATAAAGTAGCAACACAGCACAACGTGAGTCATACTGTCGCCTCTAGCTACACCAGAGGAGGAAGGCCATGTTTCATGATCAATGTAGTGGTAGCAACATAACAAAGAGACAGCAACGACGACGAGATGAAACAAGATCGGACGATGTCATGGTAGCAATTCGTGCAATATCATGAGCAAATCAGTCGCTGTCTAACTCCATCTGCAAGTTCCAGACGCATCAATTGACGCCAAGTGCTCGAAGACCGGACGGAAGACCTACCACCTGGGCAACTTTCTTTGATGCTCGAGAGGCCGCGGCTCGGGTCGATGTGCGGCCCGAGGGAGCAAAACTCAATGTCGCCTGTTTTGCCGTGGTTGCCTTCTTTGCTGGAGCCTTTCTCGTAGTTGTGCTTTGACTAAGTACGGATTAGTGAAGAGACAGCGAATGCGAGTACTTATCTGTACATACCTTAGGACAGCAGCCCGATTTGTTCTCTTGGGCTTGGGGGCTTCCTCTTCTTCCTCTATCTCATCTTCGTCCTCGTCGTCCGACTCTTCCTGCTATCCGCGCACGGTCAGCCTTCCGCATGCAATGACAGAGGAAACACTCACGACTTTCTTCTTGCCTCTGCCCTTTGCAGGGGCTTTCTTTGCAGGGGCAGTTGCTTTCTTGGCAGGGGCCCTTGCCTTCTTCTTTGGCGCAGGATCCGACTCAAGTTCCTCAAAGTCTGATCCGCCAGCGTCAACGTCCATCATCATTGAGTCCGCGGACGCGTCTGATTCGTCATTTGTGGCCTTGCCTTTGCCCTGGGGAGTCAGCAGTCAAACAGACGTTGTGAAATTTGGACAACGACAGGCGTGCCTTAGACTTAGACGACCCGCCATCCTGCCTCTTCTCGACGTATTCCTTATCATGCTTCTCTCTCACTTTCTCCACCTAGAGCCGACTCGCTGAGCGTCCAGGAAAACATTGAAGGCGACAGACTTACAATATCGTCAATATTCTCCTCCTCAACCTCCTCTCCATTCGCTTGCACGCCCTTCATCAGCGACTTGAGGGCGTGATTGACGTGGCTGAAGCGATGCTCCAGATCAGCGCCGACAGCACGCACAAGACAAGCGAGGAAGGAACGCACTTCTGGATCGCATGAATGTCGTCCTTGTCCACGAACGTCTCGATCGCGTCCGACATGCCCGACTCGCCCAGCAGCTGCAGCTCCTGCGCCGCGAGGTACTCCCTTACGAGCGTTTGCACGCGCACTTTTGAGAGCTTCTCCGCGTTGGACAGCTCCGGATCGTTGATGCTCAGCTCCGGCTGGTCCGCTATAACCTTCCCGCCGCGTTTTGCCGCTGCCTTCGCCCGGTGGAAAACCAAGACATCCCGCGGGTTCGCAAGGCGGCCCTGGAACTCCTGCCCAAAGCGCACTGGGTTTTGCATTTCACTCACGCCGGTGGTGTCGACCTATCGAGCGGAGTCTAAGAAGAGGCCCAGGAGTAGACCCAGAGTGTAGGCGTTACCTTCAGTCGGACGATCGGCAGCATGCGGGGCACCTCTTCCTCCCCCTCTTCGACCGCCCCTATGTTCCGCTCATCCCAAAGCGCATTCGCTTTCTCAATAAGTTCGTTCACCTGTAGAGTAGACCATCAATCCCATGACGTTTTGCACACGGAAAGTCAACGCTACCCTTGTTTTCAGGAACTTAGTGATGGCCATCCGGTCGTTGAGATCCAGGTTTTCATCGTCTGCGACCTCAGTAAGAACAAGTTCGTCGAGCACAAAGGGCCGCACAGTGCGCAGCGGGATTGGAGTGAGCTCGAACTCTTTGCCCTGAATCTTCAGCAGGGCGACGTGCCTGCCGCCTGGTCAACAGCTGCCCTCTATCGTATGAAAGTGTCAGACGTACTTCTCTATCGATTCGCCATCTGCGAGAGACGTCGCCACAGACGATCCGGGCTGGGTTACGTAGTACTTTTTGCCAGCCACAGGTTCCGGCATGATGCGACAATCGTGTTCATGGCCCCAGACAACTAGATCAACACTATCATCGAACATTCCTTCAGGTACAGATTGTTGTGGGCCATGTGCAACACTGTCCTAAGTCAGTCACCAATGAAATGTAATGGCCTTGAGCCTCGCCTACCGGTTTTGATGGAGGAGGAGAATGTTGAACCAGTCGTCTTTGTCCCGCGGCATGTACATTCGCACCCGGTTGCTCCTCAATTCGAAGTGCATACGCTGGTCCTTGACATTGCCCACGCCGTAGAGGCCAAGACGCGTGTTGCCTTTCCGCATAAGAACAGGCTTGATGGCGATCCCAGCTTTCTGAGCCTCGGCATCATCCAGGGGAAGGTCAATCTTGCCCATGTAATTGATGAGTCCGCTGACGGAGAGCATGTCGAGCGCGCATAGTGCGCCTTCCTAAGCTGAATGAGACATCCTTGAAACGGATGATCCATGCAAAGAGTGCGCACCGGCCCCGCGCCCTGTGGGTCGTCATGGTTGCCGTGTATCGAGAAGACGGGTATAGCGACGTTGAAGTTGGGATCCTCATAGTTAATCGCTGGGAAACTAACGCCGGAGGCAACATCAGCAGTAAGTTGAGAGCCACGGCTGACTAGCATACGAGTAACCCGGTGGCTTGCCATCATTGGGATCGCTAAGAAGTTCGACCTGAATAGGCCTGTCGCCAAGCGTGTACTCGCGGAGAAGCGCCATTACCTGGTACAAGCAATCCCTGGTAGGCCTGTTCTCATGGAACAAATCTCCGGCAAGGAGTATGAAATCAACCTATAGAAACAGCATATTATTCAATTGATATTCTGAGACATAGACCCAGTTACAGTGAGCTAGCCGCCGTGCCAAACAAGACAATGCGGAGGCGTTGTACGCCACTCCGACTAGACACTTTGAGAACATCCGATAGCCGGGAGCCATTATGCAGGACACATTAACGGCTAGAACAGTGTCTTGTTGCTCAGCCCGACTGGAGCGATCAACACCCCATGTCCCAGAAGCTCAAAGCTCAAAACAGAGGTACTTACATCGTGCTTAACCGCCAACTGCAATATCTCCCGGAACGTATTGATGGAGTCTTGTCCTCGTATAGGATCTCGCTCAAGGTACCCAATATGGTTGTCTGTCGCAAGCATTATCTTGATAGTGTCGTCCGGATCTGCCAATTTAATACGGTCGGGAGACAGCTCGAGATACTAATGGTTCTACTTGCAAGAATTACGAATGGTGGGCGGCGGAGCACCAAGATCGTCTTGAGATACTTGCGACATAACAGCAAGGTAGGTAAAAGGCTTGACAATTTCTGAGTATGTTCGACAACTCAGCGGTGGAATAGCGACAGGAATCGGACGCGCTCGAGACGCGACGCGTCGCGTCGAAATTGCTTTCTCACGCAAGTCACATGATCCGTTCCCAGCCCTAGTTTGAGGTTATGTGCAGACTTGCAACCCGAGGGAGTCTAGAAGAATACTGTCTTGATGTATTCTGTAGCATGAACTTTGCTCTTTCGCGCATAGCTGTTCGTTTTTTGCACCTTGATGCGGAAAGTTAGCATCACCATCTGTCTGCCAAGCGATCAGGTGCATCTCGCACGTGATCGTATCGCCTTGTGTCTGACGCTTGGGTCGACATTGACCTCAACGGCGACCAGGGACCGCAAACGTGCCAGCGCGTCATTCATTATCTCGCCCTCAACATCGTCTGATACCTAGCTTGTTCTTGCCTACTCTCTCGCCGTAGAAAGCATTGGACACTTTACCGGCCTCTTGCTGCGGATTCTGTTCCCACACCAACTTGTGACGGAAGTGCATGCTCGCTCAGCAGACCGGACGGACAGCTTTATAATTCTCAACAGCCATGTCGTCTCACCCACAACCAACCGCCCCATCCAGGGCACTTGTTGTGAGTGTTACTCAGCGAAAGTCATGGATACGAGAATGAGACAATCAATAGATAGCAACAGTTCTATTTTATCTTGTTGCAGCCTTATCTGTATGTTTTACTTCCTTCTTTCTCCCCGAACATATTGGCTCACGCGACGAACTAGATGGTGATGGCGTAAGTGTTCAGCTGGCATCTCTGAATATATTCTTGACCTCATGCAATGTACAGGAATAAATGGGTGCTCAACAACACCGAAGTCCCATTATTCTTCCTCGATGCGCAACTCTTCATTGCCGTCATACTGTTCCTTTTCGCACACATGGTTGGATTGCTCCAGCTGCCATTACGCCTCGATCTACAAGTTTGCAAGGGACTGATTCCAATGGTCGGGCTGAACGTTGTTGGTCTGAGGTGAACTCAGATTTCTTCGGGGCCGGCGGTATATTGACAATCTCTGCGCTCCTGTAGCTTCTCCAACTACACGCTAAAGTATGTCGACGCGTCCTTTTACCAAGTCGCCCGCGGCATGGTTCTTCCCTTCACTGTCGGAACGTCCTTCGTCATCCTACACGCTCGGCCTTCGTTGCGGATCCTGCTCGCGTGCTCAATCGTGACATTCGGTTTCTTCATCGGTGTCTTCCTTGACGGCACGTCGGTTTCGGTCATCGGTGTAACGTTCGGCGTGGTGAGCTCCATGATCACTGCTGTGCACTCGGTCGTTATCAAGAAGGCCCTCGACGTCGTGCACGGCAGTGCGCTGCACCTCTCCTGGTACACCAACCTGCTTAGCGCGATTGTACTTGCGCCTCTCCTTCTCCTCGCTGGTGAGCTTCCTGGCGTGACGGCGCTGCTGTTCGGCCCGAATATCTCGGCTCCGGGTGAGATGAGCACGTTGACGACGTTCATGGTCGGCTCTGCTGTCACGGTACGTTTTGAACATGTCACATACCTTTGGGGGGCATATTACTCACGATTCGTAGGGCGTGTTCGGCTTCCTCATGAGTATCGCGAGCTTGCTATCTATCAAGGTGACCTCGCCAATCACACACATGGTTTCATCTGCTGTCCGTGGTGTCGCAGCGTCCCTTCTGGGAAAGTCGCTTTTTGGCGACACGATCACCTCGTGAGTCGCATTATAGCTTTGTGCTCTGATAAGCCGTCTACTCACATAATGAACAGCGGTCGTGCTTCATCTATCGGTACCATCCTCCTCGGTTCTATATACTACACATGGATCAAGCACCTCGAGTCTCTCCCTCAGACGAGGTCAGCAAATGGTCACACGTATGCACAGGCGTCCCTAGAGAAGGCTGAGGCCGGGGAGGGCAAGCCAGAGTGAGCGATCGCTGCCATACCTGTCTCAATTGTTATATTGCACGTGCATAGTCTCATGTAGGGAATACAATGCGCCCTTGCCTGGTGGACTGGGAAAACTTGCCGTTTAGAAGTAGACCAGAGTACCATAGATGTGCAGGCGCTAATCTACGAAGATTGCATTAGACCGCGCTCAGATACAAAGCTCAATCGAGTGGCGAAAGTCCAATCTCGCTGCATAATTAGCTCCACTGTATGTCGAAGGTTGGCTGTCAACATGATCGCGGGAGCATGTACAGACCTTCTCCAAGTAGTGCTCGCTAGATGAACTCGTCTTGCGGTAAACCTGGGGTGAGATAAACTACTATTTGAAGCTTATTGCTCCTCGAATTGAGACAACCAATATGACGATTACAGGTGATAACAGCGCACTGACAGTAGAAGCTTGGAGATGATCTCTGAAATGCCACTAACAGCCACTGCCCAAGCGCCGAGCGTACATGCGGTCCTCGTCACGACTTGGAGTTGTGGGCGACCCGAATGCTGCGAGCGCCTTTCGCGATTTTATTCGTTGTCTCCACTTTACCATCCTTGTGGATAGGGTCTTCGGCTTTCGTCGTTTTGATCTCCCAAACCATGGAGATGCGTGTGCCGAATCTCAATCCTTCTATGCCCTCTGGTCGGAGAATTAGAGCCCTATTTCGCAATGTGCCGAGATGTCGCTCTAAATTCACGATGTACGACCCAATTATGAGTCCTGCGCCACATGTCTTCGAAGCTAGCAGTGATGAGATAACTAGCTAGGTCAGAACACTTGACAGACTAGTTAAGGCATTCCTGACAGACAAGAAGGTGCACTTCACGAACCGCAGCGGCACCCGCCTTAAATTTCCTTCTGATACGTTCACGAGTAGCATGAGACGAAGCCGGACATCATCATGTCACATTCTGATGCCCTCCTCGGAATCTTGTAGTGCTACGATTAGCAGGAGCTGTCTAAGTATTGTTTGAGGCTCCTCTGGGCATACATGATTATTGCCGCAAATCTCTGTTGGCAGGGTGGCTCCTTTCATCCCCGCGATGTCAGCCCCATATTATAGCCCATTGATTACATCGGGCTTCGTGCACCAGTACCTGGCAGGATGATATATCATCTGCCGCTGGCCACCGTAAAGACCGTGATACATCCACTGACTGCAGCTACCGTTCCCAATCCGGACATGCCCCCTTTTGGCAGTTAGGTTCGGTTAAGTTAGGTTAGGGTTAGGAACAGTAAGAACGCGAGTGTGGCGCTCACTGTTAGCTTGATCTAGCTTTCACTACCACCATCACCCATCTATACACTCTATATACTCAGATTTGTTATGATTTTCTCGAAATCTTTGCCCACCGTTACATTTCCTCCCTGCTTGGCTGGTGATGATTCCAGTGTGACTGAGTCGTCCGTCACGTCCAACGAAGCGAGCTTCGAGGAGAGCATCCCAGTGGAGCACGTTCAGAGAACACAACAACGTCTCAGAAAAATTGAGGAGGATTTCAACGTCTTCTGTGGCTGCATTGACTGTTACTTTCACGCGTTTGTGCCAACGAAAGTAAAAATACCACACGGGACGCCACCCAGCCTCTTTGATCAACCGCGATGTTGGGAGGATTACGATGTGTTCTGCTCTTCAATTGTATGTATGCATGCATGTTGAATGATACCTCTGAATTGAATCTCTAGTAGGCTGCGGGGCTCAATCGGCTCATCCAGTTATCTCCCAAACGAAGACACCTAGCATTTTTAAGGACCCAAGGGCGACGGCTTAAGCCTCCAGTGAGCATCGACAACACGGATGGATGGGCGAGTAGCCCTACAATTGTGGCATCACTCCCGGGGAAGGACCGAGCGTTCTATGCACTGCCCGAATGGGCGAACGTCTCAATTGCCTTCGAGGTCATGCAGCATAATGTTGATGATCCGATAGGCAAGGAATCTGAGAAGAACGAGAACACGTTGACAAGAATCGCACATCACGCGCAGAATATCTTTGTTGCACAGAATCGCCTGTTTGTCTTTGTCGTCGGGATCTTCGGGTCCAGCGCACGGATATTCCGATTTGACCACGCCGCCGCTGTCGTCTCCGAGGCGTTCGACTACACAGAGCGTCCAGATATATTGCGCGAGTTCCTCTGGAGATTTGTACATCCACTGTCGACTACTTCTAGCGTTGCTGGTGCTGATCCGTCAATACAAATCCCAGAAGAGGTCGATATCTATCGAGCGCAAAGGCTACTTGACGAATCAGGAAAACCTCCTCTTTCTCAAGCAGAGCAGAAGATGTGCAGATGGATCACTGTACGTGACAGGAACGGTGGCCTATTGCGGTTCTTCGCATTCCGCCTGCTTTACACTAATCCCAGCATGTTCTCTCGTGCATCTTCTGTATGGGAAGCATTCAAGGACGGCGAGAAGACAAAAAGAACATATGTCATCAAGGACGCGTGGCGACGGCTGTGTTTTCCGGCCGAAACGGATTTCTACGATGTCCTTCATGAAGGTGTCAATAGCGTACGCCATGGCTCTCGCAGCGCCGACGCCTATGATCACGTCGACATAGATCCATGCTTACTCGGTCTAGCACAGGACTACATTGGTGTCGATTTGGGGAGAAGGGAATATCTTCGTTACAATGCGGGTTGTGATTCAATGCGTTGTGCGCAACTCGCGAAGAACCCGAACACAAGCAGAACGTCATGCACAGATGCGTGTGTCCCTCATCGGAGCCTCCTCTCGGGTCATTGTACCATTTCCTCTGCTCGCCTTGGGATGCCTTTGGATAGCGAACTCGGACGGAGCCACATGAGACTGGTGTTGAAGACAGTTGGAAGACCGATCTCACGTTTCACAAGAACATACCAGTTGATAGAGGCATTCCGCGATGCAATCATCGGTAAGTCTATTTGGTTGACGGAGCTGTCAGAATGCTCGTTGCTGACTCGCATTGTAGGTCACCAAAGAGCATACGAGGCTGGTATCATCCAGAGATATCAGCGAGGGCAACGTGCTACTCGCTGAAGACGAATCCTTCACCGGCTTCATCGGTGATTTTGACCACAGCTTCAATTGGAAGATGTTCCTCAAAGAGCGGGGTCTTGAGGTCAGCCGAGAGAGTTGGGAGCAATATGCTCGGCAACGATATGTAGCGAATAATGGGCCGGGGACACGACGGGACGAACCTGGTGATCATCCACTCGGTGAGAGAAGACCTATCAAACGATGGGCACAGGAGCGAACGGTGAGTGCATATGAATTACATGCAGTAACAAAGCTCATGGAGAAGCGGCTATAGGGCACCTTATACTTCATTGCTGTCGAAGTGATGGAAGGGATCTCCTTACATGAAGCTCGCCATGATTTGGAGTCATTCTACTGGCTGCTGTTCTGGCTTATGCTTCGTCACACTAAGCATGACCATCATTATAGACAGAAGACGAGCGATCTCTACTTCAAGGCACCCTCGGACAGCGCCCTCGCTGAGTACAAGAGCGTCTGGCTTATTCAGAATATGCCAATCTTGGTCCCAGGAAACCGCCCGCTCTCGAAATTGCTGGTTGATCTCGGAGACCTTTGTCGGCGGAACTGCTTGCTTGTCAAGGACCCGATTGAACCCCTCACGCATGAGGCTATGCTGGCGAGGTTCAACGAGGCACTCGCCAGTCCAGACTGGCCAGAAGAGGACCCCGCTATCCCGTTGAAACCCGAGCCACAGCCCTCAGATTCATCTAAATCCGATCTCAGCGATACCAATGAATCACACAGCATTCGTCGTACGGCCAGCACTCAGGCACCCCACAGCACCCACTGGTTCGAGGATCGCCTCATCCGGAGCGCAGACTACCCTGTCTGTGAGGTCCAAAAGCAGAGCGACTACCCAAATGCCGCAAGTAGTATTCGGTGTAGAAGCGAACCGTCCGTATGTCACCGCGCACAGGTCCGATACAAGCACACCCGGGATTTGCAGAACCTTGGTCAGAAGGTCGCCTTTCAGAGCAGACTCAGTAAACGCAGTCGTGAAGACGACGACGACGACGACGACGACGACGACGATTATAAACCAGTGAAGCGCCCGAGATTAGAAAGTGCGCGGGACGTGCGAACTTGGCCAAGGTCAATCGTTCACAGCGCCCTCCGGATCTTACCAGGCCTCCCAGCGCTTCTACTTAGAAGTGCTCTTCGCACAGCGCTCTATTATACCCCTTCCCGACGCCCGCGGACTTGATCTTCTTATTATGCTTATCTGTCGTTCGTGGATTACAACAACAATCTGTACTTTTTACCCCCATGGCTTGACGTAACTGGGCCACGATGAATCTGTGCCCTAATATCACCAATTTGACAGCACACGCACCTCATCACCCAAGTTCGGACCTGCGTGCGGCGGAGTGGTGGAACCTAGCGGGAAGGTTGAGTGACAATTGCTTGAAAATCCTGTCTGCCTCAACGGTCTTGATGAGTGCGACCTGCCTTGACTCGAGGAGCTCTGACAAGTAAGGTCCACTTCTAGCCTAATCCATGCGCATACCAAGGCATAATTACAGACATTTCTATTTTTGTAATCTACACCATACGCACACGAAGTCCGAGCACCGAAATATCGCACGAAAAAGGAGAACGACTTGAAATAGTCAATGCAACAGAAGCTACATGGTCTTGCTAGGGACGTGAGTCGACGGAAGATTCATGTCCGGATCCCGGAGGAGCATCGGCGCAGGCCACATCGCCGAGCGCGGTTGGCCGTCCGACCTCGACCTCTGGAGTATATCTAACCCTGGTTCGTTTTGAGATCGCAATCGTGTTGTCCTCACTACTGCGAGACCGTTTAATGCCACGCTTATTCAGTGTTATGAGATCGTCGATATTAGGTTCTGAAGTATCCCTGCTCGCAGGTTCAACAAGCTCGTCTGGCCTTCCAGAATCTGTCGGGCTTCCCATCCTGAGGCGTTTCGTAGGCTGAGCATCTTCAAGTTCCTCTTCGTCACTGCGTTCCCGTTTACTGCTCGGCCTACCTGCGCTTGCTGATTCTTCGGCCTCTGCAGGGGCCGGCCGAGTACGCTCGTCGCCCGCAGGGGGAGGTCGGTTTACAGCCGGAGAGGGATCCCGGCTCGCAAGAATAGCCTCGGATTCCCCCGCCATTCGTTGGCCATCCCGATAGGTCGAAACGCCATCTGTGCTCCATCTGCGGCCATGCCGGCCTCGTCCACCGCCATTGAATGTTGGAAAGCTCTGCGCTGTGCGATGCGTGCGAGTAGATGGCTGCTCGCTCTGGGGTCTAGGCCAACCAGGTTCTGCGACCTTGTATGTCGTGACATGCTGTGGCAACGCAGCGTCGTTCTCCGGCCAATCCGTACGCGCGAGAGCCTCGTCGAACTTGGCCAGGACAACCTCGTGCGTGAGCGGTATAACCGTATGCATGGCGGATAGGAAATTCCGTATGCACAGACCCTGCAGCTCCCGCAGCAATGTGGTGAGCGGCTGGTTTCCGGGTACAACAACGTTTGCATTGCGGAGGATCCACCCCTTCCTCATATCGGGGTCCGAGGGAACGGGGCTGCGTCCTGGCTCGAACATCCAGGCACCGTCCTTCCTGCCCCCGGTTTCTTTGTGCTCTGTGTGGCGCAGTACAAGCCAAAGCAATAGCCAGTAGAATGATTCCAAGTCGTGGCGAGCTTCGTGTATCGAGATATTTTCTACTATCTCGATAGCCGCGAATGGCATATGTCTCTGATGCTGCATGTCAGCCGAAGGATCTCGACGAAAGGCGACAGGCATACCGTGTGTTCCCGCGGTCGTAATGGCGGGCCATAGACATCATATTCTAAATCTTCAATGAGTACATCGCTCCTAGCGTATTGGCCATTCTCAATCGCGTACATCGCGCGAGCATACTTCTCCCAGTTCGCGACGGTGGCCTCTCGATTTCTATATTTGAGAAAACTAATCCAGTCGAAGCTGTTATTGAAGTCGCTAATGAACCCTTCGTATGCGCCTGCCTCTGCGATCATTACGTTGCCTTCGTTGATGCCTCGATGTAAGATACCCGCCTCGTATGCGTGCTTATGTCCTGAGATGTTCGACGTCAGCATATGCGGAAATAAGCCAATGTAGTTCTACAGGCACTACACACCCTTGATAGCGTCACGAAGTGCCGCAACTAGTTCGCGCGTTGACCTAAATTGCGATAGTGGCCTTCCGACAGTCGCAAATACGAACCGCATATGGGTGCGCTCCGCCAGTATCGCGAGGTCTTCAGACTTGAAAATAATGGTGACGGACATGGTCCTATGCCCAGCATAGTGTCCCATCGGAGAAGGAAGTGGATGACTAGACGAATGTGAACGAACACTCGACTCGCCGTCCCGAGTGACATCTCCAGTCCGTGATGGTGCGGATGTAGTCTTCGGAGGAGTGATGTGTGTACAGACGGGGAGGATGCGGAGCCCGCGAACATGAGGTGACGTTAGCCTCCCAAGGTCGATACCACATACAAGCTGTGCAACGCCGAAAAATGAAGAGTTTCCCGCTCCTATGCCCTGATCGCTGTTGCTGTTACCGAACGTATGGTCCTCTGAGCCACCAGCCAGGGTCCTGTAGTGGCCCAACTCCGAGTTGAGCGCCGTGAACCTCCATGAATCCTTCATAACATATATTTTCCCGCTGTGGTCTTTATGTTTCAGGACCTCCCATACAGTCGAGGCACTGGAGAACAGAGATCGCCTGAGATAAATAATCCGGAATGCGAAGAATTTGTGCAGGATGCGTCCGTCGTCATCATGCACAACAATCCACCGACATACACGCTCATCCTCAGGCGCCAGGGACCGATTGCTATGCTCCAGGAGCATCTTCCGAGCCCAGCGTATGTCCTTTTTCTTCGGCATCTTTATCGTGGGATCTGCGCCGGAAATCTGGGCGCCCTTGACCGCAGGATGACAGAGTCGCCAGAGAAACTCCCACAGAATTTCGGGGTTCCTGGTATAGTCGAAGGCTCTCGACACGGCTACGGCGGTATGATCGAAGCGGAAGATCCGTACGCTCGAGCCAAAGATCCCCACGACGAACGCGAACAGCAGATGGTGCGCGATCAGCAGGTTCTGAGCATGCCGCGAGAGACGAACGAGTGCCTCTTCGTGGTCCAGGCCCTTCTTGTTGACGGGGTCATCCTTGGCCTCTGGCATGATGTCAAAGACGCATGAGACATTGCTCCATTCAGGCAGCGACGTGAATGACTTGTGCTTCCCTGGGAGGGAAGCTACGATGGTCGGACTGGTCTGAAATCTTTCCAGACCTCGTGAGGGGAGTGGAGGTCTGAGGCAGCGGCCTTCAGTTAGGAGGAAAGCTAGCCGTCTCGGCTTCGGAAGGGCTTTAGCAAGTTTTTGAAGACATTTGATCTGGAAGTCGCTCAGTTTGATGAGATGCGCGATGACTGGAAGATGCACTTACTACATGCGGGGAATTATCATCAGATTGGATACGTTCAGAGGCCGGACTGCGATCTAACTTCGGTGGTGGACATGTTGTCTCACTCGGGACGAAGGCATTCAAGTAACAGTGCAAACAGCCGTCAAATACGTGGACCTTTCTGTGTTTATCGCTTTCTTTCAGCTGCGCGCTTGATTCCTCGAGTAGTGGCCTCTCTCTGGCAGGGGGTTGAGAAGAGCTCGCGGAGGCAGCCATAGTGGAAGCAGATACGAAAGAAGGATGAGACGGTAGTGGAGTTGGGCGTCGAGAAGTCGATAAAGATAAAGGACGAACAAGGGCATGATCGACTTTCTCTTGTTCTGCAGTGGATTGTTAGCGGACAAGACACGATAGTGCCGCGGTTGTATCTCGCATGCGGTCACAGCATGGTAATGCATGCCAAGATTCAATTGTTGCGTCTTATCTCATGCAGCTCTTTCCTCGCTGGATCATTGTTCGATGGCCGTCTCTACTCGAGAAAGGACGACTTTTGACCTCACTTCAAACTCGCTCGACGTGCCAGTCATCTTAGGCACGGCAGGAGTAAGACGTCACTAGACAGTATGGAGTGGGAGAAAATCTGTCTCACCCGTAGGTCAAAACATTGCGCCTTCGGTCGACGTCGACGGTCAAAGATCTTCGGAGTGAGGAAATTCTAGCCCGTTTCTGCCCGTTTTCGTTATTGTTGTTCAATGCCTATTTGATCACTGTTGTCGCAATCTACGCGTAAGTTGATCGTCGTCCCTTGCTTGCCGCGTTGGAGAGCGAGTGCATAGTGTTGCTGAGTATAGTGGATGAGTATACCGACCGTGTACGGTCGCACGTATTAGTCCGCAATGAGAGCGAGTACTGATGGCACACCGGCGCTAAGCGCCCTTACTCGCCTATCCTAAACAGGCAGGCGTACCAATACAGCGGCGACGCTCGCGTGTCTACGCACGTGGCCAATGTGGCGGCCACGTGAGGATCTTCAGCCACGATCTCCCGTCATCCCACTATTCTTAGGAGACTGAGAAGATCGCGTACCGTACATACATGGCGCGCGGGCGTTTTATACTACGATACAGGCCTCCGGCCCCTAGCTACTCGCGTGCCCGACCTTTCGAGCTCGTTCCTGGCCACGCGGGTCTGCGCGTTTCAACAACTCTCCCACTCCCCTCCAGTATTCCGCCACGTACGTTCACAGCGAGTTCGCGAGCCACTCTGCGCGCTGACTCCAGTGTCTCGCCAGCGTGTACTACTCTACTCGCACCACCCGCTGCTCATGTCCTATGTTCTATAACCGTACAGTCGATGCAAATGGTTCATTCGTATCTAATTGATCCATAAGGCTTTTGATGGCGCTGAAACGGCCGATCTCAGTCCGTCAGGCGATCTCATGTTTTCCTGATGCACTGCCAAACATCGCAGAAATCCAGATGCTTTAGATACCCTTTCTACCTTGGTAACGCCTTACATCTTCTTCTAGCCGTCATTCAACTGCTGCTGACCCATGTCGGCAAAGGACACTCCAGAAGTCGTCACAGCACTCCCCGTCGACAAGACACATACACTTGGGGCAGAGTCGAGGCTGCACTCGATGCTGCGTCGCTCGCGCGAATGGAGGTCCTCAGTACCCTTCACGACGTCTGGTATGATCTTCAGCTCCGGTAGCATTCGGCAACCATAGTTGACGGCAAACACCCTTGCAGTTGTCGCACTCGGTTGGTGAAATACTAACAATGTAGCCCTCAAGCGCACTTACCGACGCCATGTCCTCAGGTATCGCCTTTGATAGCCTGAATTACAACATCGTTGTCTCTGTCTTTCCCTTCAGACTCGAGGCACTGAATTATAGTCATGTATCCAGTCTCGTTGGATGGCTTCTCTTCCTATATGTAAGTCGGCCACCATCGCGAAGTCCACGCTCTCTCATTGCGCCATTATAATCCTCCAGTCAGCCGGCCTTGTCATATGTGTGTAATTGTTCCACGCCTTGACTGGATCGATTAAACTTCGTCGGACAGCCACTCCTGTTATTGCAATCGTGTCTGAACGTCTTCATTCTAGACGTGGAGTCATGATTGCTGGCCAGTTCGCCCTTGTGGCCTCCCAGCTATTGCTGATGGAGGCATCTAAGTTCTGGGTGATGTGCCTTGGCCGACTTTTTGAGGGCATCAGCTCCGCTATAATCCTAGTAGCTGGTCTGGCCTTGATGTATGTCCTTTGAATTCTGGAGAGATAATATATTCACTTAGAGTATGGCAGATGCGACAGAACACCGGACAAAGATATCGGAGGTACTGGCCATGTTTCTTCTGGTATTCATGCTGCAGCAATGACACGTCATGCAGGGCAACTTGGAGTCGCTATGGTCGGCCTGCCGCTGGGGTAAGCAACGAATCATTCCATTCTTTCCCACTTTTGCTCACAGTCCTACAGTGCACTGGTGGGACCGCCAGTGGGAGGTGCCCTGTATGCGCGCTGGGGCTACCGCGCCCCCTTCATCTTCACTATTCTATTCACACTGGTAGACTTCGCCGGCCGGGTGCTCATCATAGAGCCGCCAGCAGAGATCGGCCAGCGAGATGACGAAGAGCACAACTCGAAGTCAGACATCGCGCTGGCTGCAACGCAAGAGCTCCCATCTCTCGCGGCAGCGGCCCTAGGACACCTGGATCTCCAGATCATCGAGACCGTGTCCGACCCCAGCATTCCCGCCCCACACGTGCTCGCGAGGAAAGCACCGGAGCTCTCACTGCTCGGTGTCATGGTGAGGCTGCTGTCCTCGTCGCGCACGCTTGTGTCGCTGTCTGTGGCCTTCTTCTGCTCGTAAGTCCATCATTTGCGCCTCGCCGCCTATGCGTGCCTGCCATTCATGCTTCTCTACACAGGTTCGCGTTCTCCGCGGCGGACGTCACGCTCCCCCTGCGCCTGCAGGCAGTCTGGGGGCTCAGCGCGTCCCGGGTCGGCGTAGTGTTCATCGCTGCAATCGTGCCGACGTTGATATGTGCGTGAGCAGTCTCCTCACGTCGGAAGGCACTGACATACTAATGCGTGTCGCTCGCGTAGCATCTCCTCTTGCAGGGTTTCTGACAGACAGGGTCGGTCCGGCGTGGGTCGCAGCTGCTCTCCTCTTCGCGGGCATACCGTGGTGGGGTGCGCTGACGCGCACTTTCTCGTTGGCGTTCTTCATCGCCTCCTTCGCTATCGAGAGTGCGTTACACCCACGTCTAGTCCTGGCTCCCACTGAGTGCACTATGTCGCGTGCAGATTTCTTTATCGCGGCGGTCGTGTCTCCGGTTACAGCGGAACTCGCCTCGATCACGCGAACCATGGACGGCGTTGGCTGTAAGTTCCGCACACGGACCACAAAACATAAGCTCAGCACGTATCCAGACGCTCATTCGTACGGAACGTTCAACATCATCTTTGGCCTGGGAAACGCTGGTAAGAACATCACTTCTCCAGATGTGCACAGGCATGCCGAGCTGACTGGATCTGCGTCACCAGCGGGTGCTATTGTCGGGGGACAGGTGGGTCCGTAGAATGTATATTGATCGGACCGCTTGAACGCGTTATCCCTAGATCTACAGCCACTCCTCGGCCGGTTGGCCCATTATATGCTACATCAACGTCGGTCTGCTAACTTTCACCCTCGCTGTGACTGCGGCGTTCCTCGAGGAACGTCCGTTGGCGCTCCGCGGATGGGATCTGTTGCGAGGAAGGCGGCGGGGACTAAAGGCGGGAGAGGCTGCGCCCGGGCAAGATGTCGCCTTGGGTCATCAGATGGGCCTGCAATCAAGATAGACCTGGCTTGGCTACGATGCAACTGCCGCGTCCTGTCTTGTATCGGGGTATCTTATAAGTGGCGGTGTATGCTAAGTGTAGTACGGGCCGCGCAGTCACGCCCTTTCCTCATTGCTTGGCGGTCCCGTAGGGACGCCCAGACTATGATATATGAATGGTGTGGGCATCAATTGCAGGTGTGTGGTCTCTCAAACTTCAAATGGCAGAATGCGACTCTCGGATATGTAACGAAAGATCCCCGGCCTTGTTTTCCATCACAGATTTCAGAATGACGGCATAACCGAGAAATGTATACAAACGCTACTTTGAAGCTGAAGGGAAGATGCAAGCTCGACGCACAACGGAGAAAAATGCAAATGAGCGCAACGCTGAATGACCGCCGGAGGTCCCTTCCTTTCTTGACTCCACGCCTGCATCGCTTGTAGGGAAGGAAGCTGAATGTAATGAGTGTACATCTCTGGCACTTCATGGAACAATCACTGGGATGGCGTGCGCACACTCTGATGGTAGTGGTCGTAGTAGGCTATTGTACACCTAGGGCAGGTCCTGGAGGTATCTAGTAGACCCCCATCGGGGCGGTGGGAAATGGGTCTAACGAACACCATCCCCAGGGGGAGATCAGGGCCTATATCCCGATATGGATATAGGCATGTGCCTGATCGCACCCTCGAGGCGGGTTAGACGCCCGCCCGCCCTCCTTGGGACACTCCTCCGCCGTACCTTAGGACGCTCCACCATCCCCAGCCTCTGTGTACCCTCGCCATATTTGTACCTGTCTACATCTTGATGCCATGTCTTTGCTATTTCAAATTAGCTCCTATGCTCTCTCGCCTGGCTATATTCTCGCTTTCACCATGCCGCCACCTAGTACTCTCCAGATCGGCGACGACCTGCTCCCATGTCCTGCGACACCCCCCCGATCGCAGCCACCGAGGACGCGCGATAACCAGAAGGTCATCCCCCGCACAGGGGCGCACTTTTTGACCCCCCAAAAACGT